CAGGGTGGACGTTGGGCCTCTTTTTGAAGCACCTGAAACGACTTCTCGCCTGTTTGTTCGATCTGAAGAGCGTGCAAGAGCGTGATTTTTGAACAAAACAGAACAAGATATAGTGAAAGGATTTCAGAGGATAAGCTCTATATGTGTAGTCTACGATTGGTCGAGCTTTGGTGAGTCTTCACATGGATGCTTACCGAAAGTGGTATTCCGGCATTGGACCAGCAACTGACCCGCGGCATCGTGGTGACTTGCTGATTGTTGACACAATGGGCGGCGACCAATGCCGAAGGCGACCAAGAATGACAAATAGGTTTGGACACATGGACACATTTACCAGAGGGTTTACATGGCATCCTAATTTGGAACCATAATAGCATATATATATATACAGTAAACCATCATAAACTTGCAGATGCTGGGCTCGATGCGCAACCAACAAAGGACACAAAAGTCCAGAATGTGGGAAGAAATGAAAGGCACTCCAACACACACGCTTGAGATATATGACTTATAATAGTATCCCAGACACTCCATGCATGCCATATATGCCTACATTGGTATTGCATAAATACATTTGTCCTTCAAAGCGATATATTCACTCGGTGCAGATTCAAACTGGTTTCTCGAGATCCCAAACCAGCCAATTTTTGTCGGATGAGTCTCTTTCTTTCCCCACTTCGCCAGCCCCTTCGATTTCCTGTCCCTCTTCCTTTGAATCTTGGAATCTCTCCCCTCGCGTCGTTTCGCTTCTTTGGCGCTCCCTACTCGATGGTTCAACTCGCCCGGTAGCGCCCGGTAGAGTACCGTGACCGACGTGCTGACGGGTGACGTTTCAACGTCGCCGGTGGAGGACGTGAAGCTTGGAGGGAGGGACGAGGTGAAGCGGCTCTGGGACTGGCGTGAAGTGGTCAAAAGGAGGAGACGAAGCTACCTGGAAGGAGACAGCTGGATTTGGACCCGGTGAGGCGTGAAGAAGAAGCTCATAGAAGCTCGTCGCTTGTGACGCTTGCTTTCCTTGTTTGCCCCCCCCACACACCCCTCCCACAGACCACCCATGATGCTGGTGATGCTGGTTTGCGTCCCGTCCCAAATGAGATGCAACACGCGCAACACTCCGTCACATGCTCGGAGACCGCTCTGCCCTACCCGAGAATGAGCAGATCGCCTGCAGCCTTGCGGCAGGTTGCTGCAGCGCGTGAAAGTAAACAACAGTTACCTGTCTGCTCATTCTCACACCATTGGCCGGGTGTGGGGCGCACGAAGAAAAGGAGCTTGGTAGTTTAGATTGCACGGCTCACTGGTCCATCTTGGTTGCCGGTGGCTGTTCTACCAAGCCTCTTGTACCCTTGAGGCCCTTCTGCACCGCATGACAGCGAGACCATGGGCTAAAGTGCGAGACCATGGGGGTGCATGCGTCTGCATTCTTCGTGTCAGAAGGGGAGGGCACATGCACACAGAACAAGTTTCCATGTTCATTTCGAAAATGAACACACACTTGAGAAGGTTGCTCCGTGGAGCGTGATTTCAGGTAGCTTCGCGGTGTGCATTAGCCCTTTAAATCTAGATACTGCAGGAAACAACGTATGAGACGGCGTTGCACTGACTTAGAAACCTCAGCGATTGAAAATCAAAATTAGTATTAAAATTGCAGGTACGTGATCCTAGCGTCCCAGGATCATATCAGCCATGGAATGCAGCCCTCTTCGTTGGACAACCAACTGCATCCATGGGGTTGTCCCCCTGCTTCTGTACAGAAAAGCTCGTAGGGTAGATTAGAAAAGTACTAGAGTAGTGTCCTTGGAAACAGGAGTGGACACACACACACACACACACTTAGATAAAGGCTCGCAAGAGCTAAATCAGTTATGATCTCATCTTTTTCAAGTATGAATCCTTAGTGTGGTCGAATTCCTTAGAGACATGGAGTTGACACACACACACACACACCCCACTAACAAGCAATGTTTTTTTGTCTGACGAGGAAAGGGTACTTGATGGATATGTAGAAAGATTGATATAGAGGCGTCCCAAAATCGGGTTCGGATGTCAGACAGGCTACGTTCGGCTGACGTCATAAAGGCTACACCCAACCTGAGGTCATGATTCTTGCCAGCGCCGAGATATTCCAGGAGTCTGAAGTCTGCGCTGCCAACGGTGTCTTTTTGATGGTCAGGTTTGTTTATAGAGTTGCGAAACCTCCACAGAGACGCATTGGTGGCAAACAGACAAGTCTTCATGCCAGTTTTGCTTGAGGAGGGACCACCCAGCATCCTAATGCTGAGCCGCGCACATTTGCCTCTACTGAGCAGGCCTGGCAGGACCCATTCCAAAACGGTAGAGATTTCGGAGTTAGGGTTGATTTGTTTTTGATTCCCTTGGATCATCAGATTATCCATGCATATCCATTGCAATTAAGGTTTCTTCCTATCACCATGGCATTCTGCAACATTTCAGGAGGTTTCTTCCTATCACCATGGCATTCTGCAACGTTTCAGGAACTGATCGAGGTGAATGTGTTCTGACCGCTTATCATTCCAGACCCCTTTGAAAGCTAAAAGCAAGAATCTGCAGAAACCTCGAAACCTCATTCCAAAACCGACCTCAAGTTCTTAACTCGACCTTTTCTATGCCGCGAGCACCACCCTCAGACTCCGAGGTCGGACGCGGTCAAGAACGGGTGCCAGGGACATCACTCCTGGACCCGGGTCCAAGGTGAGAAACCCTCTTTCTTTTGTTTCAGAGCGGGTGTTGATTTTTGGGCACATGTTCTGACGAAAAACATCCCAGGATCATCCTGTCTGGGTGTCCAATAGACGACCCTACTCTACTCAAACAGGTCTTCAAACCTTTGAGCTTCGGCCCAGCTGGGCCAGCCTGATTCACACCTTCCGAATTCCGATCATTAAAGGAACGGCCCATGCAAGGTCGAAGAGTGGATCACAGCTTACCTGGAGTCGGAGCCAAGTGACTCCTCTTGCTTTTTCTTCCATCCATGGGAGCCCCACAACAATCAGCCAATTCGGGGACATCTTGACCCGGAACCTGGGAAGGAACCTGGTAGTGTTTTTCTCATTATCTTATTATTGTGCTGATTGATCTTGATAGGTGAGTGTGCATGTGTGTGTTTTTTAGATCTTTTTTACATGGTTTACAGTCTGTATATATATATATATATATACAGCTTTATTACGTTTTGTAATTTAGTTTTTAAATATGCTTGCGTGGATGGCATGGCCCCGATCGCGGATGACCGTGATTCCTTGAATACCAAACAGGTGGTGAATTCAACCCCCCCTTCCATGATGATTCCGGGGAGTGTCATGTTTCCGTTTGGGTTTCTGCATCTCGAGAGGTTGAAACTCATGAGAACGGCTGAGACGCATGAGGAGCGCGCAGGGCAGCATGTTTTTTTTTGCTCGTCGGCAGATTTCCTGAGTAAGTTGAGTGGGCACGGGCGATAGAAGTTGGGCTTTGAGGTTCCTTTAATTTCCCCTAGGGATCCAGTCGTACCTTCTGAGAAGGTACTAGGGGGCCGACTGGACCCTCCAAACCTACATAACAGTGTCTCCAATCACCTCTGAGGGTTCTTTCAAATCGAACTTTAAAGGTTTCATACCACTTGGTGGTGATCCTTTGAGGGAATCGGAGCGTCTGAATGTGTGCTGATTCGTGATGATAGTCCCACGAACTCGTCGGAGGTTCCTTTCTCTCAGCGATGGATGTTGGAGGTTCCATTCAGGAATTACGGGACCCACATGCTCTGGAGTTCCTGAACGGAAATATGGTACTCAGATGCTTGAACAACATGTTGTGGAACGCATGGGTCGCCCTGCCAAAAGTCGGCCGCGGGCAGAGTTGAGGGCGGGCTGGCCATCAACTTCTCTTTCGTTCCGATGAATTGGTTTCTGAACGCTAGGAGGTTCTGTGAAAGAGTCGCCAGTACACCATCGACTTTGGGGGGTTTGCCAGCGTTCCTCTTGAACAGGAAGATTGACCCAGTGGCGGAGCAGCCAGCTACATGAAAAGCAAGCTGCTTCACCTCTCTAACCTCATGTCCACATTCCTGATTAGGAACTTCCAGGACATTCAGTACGTGGCCTCTCTGGAGTCTCTGTCTGTGACCTGAAAAACGGGCTTCAGTGACCTCATCCTGGGATAATATCAAGTTCGGTCACGTACTGAAGATCCTGGTTACCATGGAGGTGGACATGGAGCTTCGGTCTCTTCGGTGCACCAGCGCCATTTCCTCTCACTTCTCTCCGTCCCAGGTAGTGGAGGACACCTTTCTGAGGCAGGTGGATAGCTTAGGCCGTCTCACACGGACTTCGCTGCTGCACCTGGGCGCCGCTCCGTTTCCTCTCCCCGCTTCGACGAGGGAGCCCGGCGAAGGAGACGGAGGGAGATGGGGAGTGCGGATCGGGAAACTCCGCAGGTCGGGTGATCCTGGCAGAGGGTCCAGCCAGCGCGTGATTGGAGTATATATTGGAGTGTTATAAGGGCCATGCTTCAATGATTTGGATGGTTCTTGTAACGACCCCCCCAAAAAGAACAGGATTTTTGCTTTGGTCTCAGTTTCTCAAGAGCAGACTCGGGGTGGCACAGTCCAAGCTTCATGCTTCGCTGCAGAGTCAATGCTGTGTGCATGTGTCCGTGGCAATGGACTGCGAACCGACTTACGGCCGCGGAAGTCTGCAGCTGTTGGATTGGAGAAGTCACGGCTACGACAGCACTCTTCCTACCCAACCACAGAAACACATTTGTACTATAGTGACAAGCAAGTGCTCTACCGACTAGGACGGACCAAACCTGGCACTTGCGTTGGCATGACGAATGCTTGGATTCTGAACGATTGGGAAAGCGTTAAAACATAATCTATATATAACAGTACAAGGCGCACAATGATGCATAATGTGTGTGTTGTTCAATCATCCAAACACCCAAAGCACGACAAGTGAATAGTAGTCCAATTTTTTTGGAGGCAATGCTCAGAGTTTGAAACATCGCGTGGCCACTAGTTTACTAGTTCTGACCAAGGGTCTCACAAAACCACGATGTCATGCGGTGCCAGCTCTTCAGGCCGATCCGATTGATCTTCCTCGCACACGATCGTGGCGGATTTCGCACGAAGCAAGCAGTGCTGGATTTCGAAAGGGTTGATCTTCTTTAAAAACATGATCACTTGGGGTGGTTGACTGGGAGTCAATGTAGCCATATACGGCATTCCCATGGAGTGCCTGGGACATACACCACCCATCACAACCCCAAACCTGCAAGTGAACGTCGCTGGTTGACATCGTCCCGATTCTGCTTGAAAAGGTCAGTCACCCGGTCAGTGGGGATGTCGACACGGCTGACAAGGGTTGCAGCACCCACCAGAGCTCCGTTTGAGCTAGTCCCGAAAGTGATCGAAAAAGAGGCACACAAGTCGCATGTCATCTATTTCAGGTCTATACCTTGCTTCCTGCAACGTTAAGGGGCCAACCTTGCGATGTTTGCTCCATCTTGCTTCGTAATCGACCCTGAAACCTGCCTGTTCCAGACCGTGGTCCCACGGGTTTGATGGGGTTTTTGATGGTTTTTGAGCAACCCGGACCCCACTTCAAGTACCTTAGAACATGGGACGTACAGAGTAGACTCCAGAGTAGACTCCAGGTATCTTCGAACCACCGGGTGTGACTAAAGTACTTGGCCCATCTTGGCCCACTGAGTACTTCGGCAGGCTGAGCCTTCTGGCCTGGTGTGCGACTGCGCAGCAGGTGGAAGAAATTCCTGAACTGTTCAATAGGTGGAACTCGGATGGAACCACGTCTGGGAATGCTTGGGGACTTAAGAGGGTGTCCATCCAACTATAGATTGGGTGAGTGATTCACGAGACTGGCATGTAGCCGAACATTCTGAGACCAACGGCCCAAGAAAAGCGCGTCTCTCAGATTCCTCCTGAAACTCATGTCGACCTGTGTTCCGCTCCCAGGCCTATCCAGGTCCCAGGATTGAGAAACGGATTGAGGTGTTTAGATGGAGAAACGGATGGTTTGCAGGGATTCCGGGAGATTCCCGCCGTCGAGCTACTTTGATTCTGCGACATTCATAGCCCCCCCGACAAAGTGATTACACTCCCTGGAAGGACTCATATATACGGTTAGATGGCAGCATGGCCCCCAAAGGGAAGACCATGGATCTTTTTGTTCTACAACGGGGGTGACCTCCACTTTCGTGTTAGTTCCAGGTTCCTGGGATGTTGGTGACCTTGTAGGCCAGCCTTGGATGAAGATGATCCACGTAGGCCAGTCCTAGGAGCCCTGATCCCTGATCGAAGTCGGCCGGTCATGATGGATCCGGTGGATCCAACGGACAAGCCCAGACACTCCATGGGACTGCCGTAGGACTGCCAAGCAGTTGGGGTGGTTTGGGGGGTCAATGTATAGGCATTTCTTGGCATATTTATATGGCAGTCGCATTAGTCGTGTCTGGGAAGTGTCATCATTCTTCCATCCCGCATTCCGTTGACATTCTTCGCAGAAGTACTCCGTTTTTGCGCGGGCGCCGCCTTCCTTCGCCTTCCGCCTGGACGACTGAGCCTTCCGACGACCGAAGGTGCAGCATGTGAGGATCGGCCTGCTGGGCGATTGCACCTGGGACCGGAAAACGGAGCGGACAGAGCGGCTCGGGAGGGCCGGTTAGGGCCTAACTTAGGCATCCGACTTACCGGTGAAGAAGCACCCAAGGCGTCCAAGACGTGAGGACATCAATTGGGCCGAAAGTCCTCAGAATGGATCTGTACATGGCACACACACGAACTAGGGTTTAGGGTTTAGGGTTGGAACAGAGCAACGAGAAGCCGACAATCGAGGAAGACAGTCGACTCTTCATGTGCCTGACTTCCTCATGTCACTCCGGGAACAACAGCTTAAATAGGTTACCAAGCAGTTGGGGTTGATTTCAGGGTCAATCTATGTGAATCCCGACACATATGTCATAGAGTATATATATATATATATTTGGGATATAACGAGCACCCTTCTTGGGTTTCCACCTTCTCGACGTGGGAGAGTCAAGTCCTGCTTGGTGGGAGAGCGAGCCTGATTTCGACCCCTTGGGTCGACTTCTTTGGGGTCAACAGGAAGTTGGTTCAACAGGGGACTTCAACACCTTCTAGTGAACAGGGGACTTCAACAGATGAGAAAAATCCGGGACGAAATCGAGTGAACCATGGACTGTCAACAGATCTCTCTCAGCACCTTACTGTAGGGGGTCTCGGATGTGAGGTCGCCCACTCAACGTCGCCCAGTCGCCCAGCCATGCTGAAAGGATGATTCACCGGACTGGACTCCGCTGGAGCATCAGATACGCCGTAAATGGTCCACGGAATGGGCCTTAACAAATGTTCCAACATGATGTCTGAAGGATTCTCCACAATAACAGTTGATTCCTGTTTATTCCATTCGGGCCTCAAAGGACCTGAAGCTTAACAGTTCAACAGTGTACTGCAAGACATTGATGGAATTATATATACCTAGCACTTCCAACGGGTGCCCAATGGAGACCCGTAAGTAGGGTGGGGTAGTCTATTGGACACCCATTGGATGACCCTGGTATATATGTTATCGTATGTTATTTTATGTTATACGCCGATGTTTGCCCTCTCCCAAACGTTTGCATCGCTTCAGTCTGTGTAAGATGACAGTCCGAAAACACCACCCTGCGCAGCACCCAGTGCGCCTGGTGAAGGCACCCAAAAGGGTTTTCTTTCTTCTGCGTCGTTTCAGGTGGCTTGGTGATCTCCTGGAGTGCACCCAGTGCGCCCAGCAGCGACTTGAAAGAGGCACGCAGGAAAGGGCGGCGCGTTCGGCGCTTTTCTTCGTTTGTTCGTTCGGTTCTTCGAAGTAACCCTGGCTTCTATAGGAGCGATTTCACAGCAAAAAGACGGAAGTGGAGGGGGACCATTCCACCGGACTGTGCATCCGACCATCTGGGTGTCCTGTCGATCCCGGATTCGCAGACTTCGTCCAGCGGACGTCCCAGGTGGGGTCGGATGGTGGGGCGAAGTGGGACGGCCGAAGGCAGGTGGCCGAAGGCGCCGAGCGCCGCCATGATCCAAAAATCCACGAAAAACCTGGCCAGAACTGGGCCGTGCTTTGGGGAGAGTGGTGGGATCTTCCATGTGTTTCGTTGGTTCGAACCGACCTGGAAAACCGGGAACTGGTCGGATGGAACTGGTCGGTCCGTGGATCCATCACCGCCGCGGAGGATCTTCTGTTCGTGGATCCGGTTGGTTCCGTCACGAGAACTCAGTCACTTCGGTGGTGTCCCTGGGAAGATCCTGGCACGCGATGAGAGATGGTCCAAACCGTGGTCCAAACCGTGGTCTTTCCGTCTTGTGTCCGTTTTGTGGATTGCAGATCCGGCTCTTCAGCCCGAGATCAGAGATATCAATATAATATGTGCTATGAATCTTGAAGGCATGAACGTGTGTTTCTTAGAGACAACTCAACAGGGGCAGCCATCCCAGCTGAGGCTGAACACCGACCGAGCAAACAAGAAACACCCCTCCGCTTCGTCTCGCGCTCCGCTTCAGGTGCGCATCGAGGGTCAATCGGTCAAGAGCCAATGGGAATCCAACTGGCAGAACCGCACCTGGCTGGGGACGATCCTCCCAGATCTGAAGGACGAGAAAGCCTTTGAATCGCGCCGCGACGCCGAGACGTGATCGAACATCGCAGGGTGGGTCGAGGTATATGGGGAGAAGCTGAGAGGTAGCGCACACCTGATGTCGAATTAAGCATCCTTAATATGTTTTTTTATGTGTTTTTTCCCGAAGAGCAGCGTAGCTCTCCGTGCTTCTTGACCAGTCTCCTTTCTGGTGTTCAAAAAAGTTCGTGCAGCCCGACCTTCACTCTACAGATGGTCTCATGAATAACGAGATCGTTTTCGGAAGCCCTTGAGGCCCCCCAAAACTAGCGCCACGGCGGGGATGTGTCCGAATTCACCTGGGTTTCTCCTGAGGCCCGGTCTCGCCCCGACACCTGACCGTGACTCTTTTCCATTCATGTTCCATCTCTCTTCCGCCTGGTGACCAAGGTTTAGCCCAAAAAGCCCACCTAAAGTGCGGATGAAACCTCACTTTCTGAGATGCTTTAACACCGTGTGGACAAATACCAGGGCCTTCAGGCGGGGTGGTTAATGGACACCCCGAATCACAGCTAAGGGGCTATAGATAGACACCCCGACAGGAGGGTCCTGGTATGTGTCACATAGTGTCACACATGGTTGTCTTCCCTCCTGAGACCGTAGCACTGACACTCCGCGTCCCCAGGAGTCCCCCGTGACGCTCCGCGTGGGCGACGCGCCTCCCCTCGCCGTGACCCGCGTGCCCTGCACGGAGGGACATCCTCCGCGGGGGGACCCAGGCGATGCCTTGGGGGTGAGATCTGAATTCGGGTTGATTGGTGAGGAAGAGACCCACCGTGTTTCCATGTTCAAGGCAAAATGGCCAGCAAGGCATAGCAAGTTTCAGGCTTCAGGGATGTGAAGAGTAAGCCATGGTATGAAAAAGGCTTCAAGAGGTTGACCAGGGATGGGTGGCCATGTTTGATAGTCCAAGACGATTCAAGAAAATGATCTTAGGGAGCTTCCTTCACTTCCCTGGGGCCAAATACAGTCAAAGGGTGAACTCCCACGGTTTTTTTGGTTCCATTTAGAAGAAGCGGGTCTTCGCTGCTCCGATTCAGAAGAAGCGGCAGCAGGAGCCTCAAGCAGGAGCCTAACATAATCTAACATATCCGAAGGAAACAACATCGACTTCATGTTCTATTGGATGAAAAATAGCCTTAAGAAGAAAATCGACTCCATGTTCCTCTTTTCTCCATGTTCTATTGCAGTCCCGTGCAGACCGGGAACCATGCAGATCGTCCCCCAGCCTCCGTAGCGAGTCCTCGACCAAGGTCAGCCGGTCCAACCGGAGGCCCTCGGTTGGTCGTACGGAAGTGCTGATTTGCAAGCGTGCCGGTTAGTGGGACTTACATGGCAGGTTTTGTTGGGGGTTCATGTTTTGATCCTGTGTTTATCGCGAGAGTAGTGGCTTTTCTAAAGGGTTGAGGGAGTCACTGGATGTTGACAGCTTGATCCAGATTCAGCACGGTTTTAGAGGGTTTTTCGATTCACCACACGGCAGTATCTTGGAACTCCATCATGTCCGATCGATCTTCCCCTGATGGCCCTAGACGTTGGGTGAGCTGAGTCCGAAATCCCTGCCGAACCTGGGCGTGCGACCAAGAGTTGCTCGCTAGATGTCGCTGTGCAAGTGGCGTTGATGCAGGAACATCCTCCCTACAAGTCGAGTCAAAGCAAGTTCAACCTGAAAAACCTCAAACTGCAGTACTCTGGGTTCGATGACACCCAGTCACATGAGGCCAGCAAGACCTGCAGGGTCATCTTCCCAATCATTTCTGACAGCTCTAGGTTTTTTCCGTTCTCAGACGCAAAGGTTTGTCGCTTCCGTTCGTGCTTGATTGCGGGATTCCGAACTTCTAGACCTCTCCCTTCACTGGAGAGGTCTACAAGTAAACCCTAAACCCTAAAAGAAAACTGCTCGGAACTCTGCGAACCGAACCTCGATCTGCGATCGCGATCGCCCAGTGCGCTTCGCGGTGGTGGGCGACTTGGGAGTGGGGCTGAATGGCAGCGCCGTGCTCCAAAGGCGCGGCCGAGATGTGACTGCCATGAGACGTGATTGCCGTGGTCAGGCGAAGGTTGGTTTAGCCCACAGGAGATGTCTTCTGGTGTATCGATGTGTATCAATGTGGAGAACGAAACACTGTAGCCGGTTTTGAGTCGAATTTTGCAATGAAGGCACACCGTCATATGGGACGTGCATGATGCAGTTGGCATTCCTCTTAAGTGTCGGGAACTGGAGGCGGAAGTTGCTTCTGGCAGTTCTCAGACCATCCATGCGACTGGAATAGTTATATATATATACATACGAATGTACAATATATATTCAATGACCCCATTTAGGACCCTAATATACCGCAAGGTCACCATTAAATAGAATGTAATTAGTCTAGGGTTGTCAGTTGTAAGTTGTAAGTCAGTTTCAAGATTTCATGTCCATGGTCAGTTCATACCGAACGGAGAGGGTCTTCCCACCTGAGGGCAGTCCAACTCATCCACATGCGAAGATCAACATGCTGGAAAGGATGACAGGATGCTTTGTGCGGTTGAAAGAAGCCAACAGAAATACCAGCAGCCGTAGGAAGGAAGACTTCTTCAGACAACTCTCTCCCCCCGCTCTTTCTTTCTTTCTTTTCTCTCTCTGTCTCTCTCTGTCTCTCTCTGTCTCTCTCTGTCTCTCGTCTCTCTCTCTCTCTCTCTGTCTCTCTCTCTGTCTCTCTCTCTGTCTCTCTCTCTCTCTCTCTCTTGCTCACTCATGCACTCGCGCACTCACTCACTCACTCACTCGCTCGCTCGCTCGCTCGCTCGCTCGCTCGCTCACTCTCTCATTTCCCTCTTTGGAGTGTTTCAAACAACACACTGGCTGGTCAAGCAAAGAGCTCTTCAAAGAGTTGTTCATCATTCATGCCAAAACCTTGTACTCACAGTCAAACTCTATGGAGTCCTGTCCTTCCATCCTTGGTTTTTTTCGTTTCTCCAACCTCCTCAGCATAAAGTCCGCAGCTTACTGCCTTCGCCCGCGCGCGGGTGTCGCGGCGCGCGGTTGCCGCGCCTGCCAGGATCCACTCCGAGTACTCCGGGCGCTCGTCGAACTCCTCCGTGGCCGGTGTGCTACACTTGGGCGACCTGGCAAACAATCTCTCCTCCCAGGTGCGCAGCGTCGCAGCGTCGTTTTTTTTCTTCGCTCTTGGCCTGGGTGGTCTTGGTCCGACCGTGGGTGGCGCAGTTTTGGACAATGGTGGAAGCACGAGAAACACTGCGCCAGTGGAACGACCAGAAAGCCGGTGGGATGGTGGATGATGGTGTTTTTGTTTTTCGGGGGGAGAGGTGTTTCGAAGCGGTGTCTTTCTGCGTCTTCAGCCATGGTTATAGGTTTGGAAGGTCGAAGCAATGTGCAGAGGGCAAAGCTTTTGAAAGAAACATGCCAGGACTTCAAGTCGTGACCGAACTTGAGATCCCATGCAGAATGAGGTCACAACTCGTGTTTGAAGAGGTCACATATACAGACTTCAAAGGGGGAAGCCGGCTTCCTTCTCCCGACTCCGGCCGGTCGTACCCCGCCGTGGCGGCGGAAGTCAGGGGGTTGGGGTGTCGGATCGGCGATGGGAGGTGAGTCGAGGTGTCCGGGAGATGTTGATATCCGAAGAATGCCCAAGATCCGGATGGGATATTTATATTTAAACAAGACATGTGAGATCTCTAGAATCAGATGTTGATGTTGGTTGCCTTCGGCATTTTGTAGGTCCCAGAGGGGTTCATTTCCCTACCATTCGACGTGCACACCGGGTTGCTATTGGGGGGGGGGGGTCCAAAAAGGGTTTAAAAAGGTGCGAATTCGGACGAATTCCATCTCCCAGAAGCGACCCATCGGACGGGTCGGACCCGAATCCGGAGGGGTCTGGGTCTCCGGAGGGGGCTGTTTTCACGGAGTGTTTGGGCTCGTCATGGCAAGAGAGGTCAGTATTGAAGCAACGGTTGTCCCTTCAAGGTGGACCCAACTCATGGGGAGATGTGGAACATGTCGACATGACATGGAGACCCACGACCTGTCCCAAGCAGAAAGCGACCTGCGTAGAGGAAATATGTTTCCATGTTGGAACAACATGCTTCATCATGCTTCTGGTTTGAATTGAATGTTCCAGCACGAACAGTCAACAGTTTGGTTTTCCAGGTAGTGTTTGGGAAGTCAGACCCTTACGAAGCATGTTGAAGGGCATGCGGGACATACACCCCCAAAGTGTACACAAAACTGAACAAAAAAGTGTTTGAGAGTCTTGGAGTATTATTGTCCAATTTGATGTATAACTTCACCTGTGCCTCTGTTCTAGCTTTCGGTGTGCCCACTGACAACCAATCAGATGGTTTTGCTGCTTCGTAGAGTGCTTTTTTCATCGCAGCTGGTGGGATTCCCACACCTTGCCCTGCGGGCAGCGCCAAGCCCCAAAAACAAGAGACCCCCTTGTTACTAAAGTAGTAATGTACTTGTTACTACTAGTAGCGATGCACTTGTTACTGGTGTAGAAGTGACGTGAAGGAAGGAACACACCAAAAAGCGACTCGCGACAGATTCTCCTGGTATCATCATGGGCCACTTCAGTTGGTTTTCCAGCACTGCAACAAGTATTTTCGCAATTCGACTTCCAGAAACTCTTTGATCTCGAGAAATTCGCCAGACAGATGACACAATGACAGAATATGACAGATGTTTTCAAGTGAGAAAAGATATGCCAGGATGGTGCTAGGGCCTTGCACTTCTTGGAGATGTCGGTGGCTGAGAAGACCAGCTGAGATGTCGGGTTTTCCTCGCAGCCCAGCCCCTTCGGGCCCTTCGCCCATCTTCGCCCGTTCCGCGGGCCTCCACAGGGAGAGGGACCGCTGCGTTTGATCAGCGTTCCATGGCGCAAAACGTGTGGTCTTAGACCACTGTTCTGCGGCTTTGTTTGTTGACCACTTTCACCCAAAAACGTCTTTTTTTTGGTTTCACGTGCTTTCACGAGAGAAAGCTTCAGATATATCCAGAATCCAGAAGATGCATAATACATCATATATTAATTCTTATTGTAAATTACAGTATATGTTGCATGTCTATGTGCCAACCCCCTAGTAAAATGCACATCTTTCATCCCTTGCATCTGCTGCAAACTTCAAACAGTGTGTTTTGTCGTTGTTTTTTTTAAATTCCTTTTGATTCCAAGTGGTTTTCTTCTATAATATAAATTCCTTTTGATTCAGTTGCATGGTTACCTTTTGAATTTCTTTTTTCTTGTCGATTCCATTTGAAACACCTCTTGATTTCAAAGGATGTCCTTTTTAACTTCCTTATGATTCGATGCGTTAAAAATCACTTTTGACATCATGTTGACTCTTATTGGTTCCATTTGAAGAAACATGTTGATTTCAATCGATTTCTTTTTAAACTCCTTTTGATTCCAGGTGGTTTGTTTTTTCTTTTGATTCAGTTGATGTCCTTTTCAGAATCGTTGATCTCAACTGATTTCCTTTAAACTGGATTTTCATTCCAAGCGGTTTTCTTTTAAATTCATGTTGATTCCAGTTGATTTCCTTTTAAGAATCTTTTGACTTCAAATGTTGTTCTTTTAAGTTCTTTTTGACTCCTGCAGGTGATTGTCCTTTTTGATTTCTAATGATATCCTGTTAAGTTCCTTTTGATTCCAGCTGATTTATATAGTCTATGTTTGCTTCCTTTTGATTCTACTTGCTCTCCTTTTAATTTCCGGTCCAAAGCTCTTTAATTCATGTTGAATTCTTTGTATGCTCCTGTTAATTCATTGATTCCTTTTAGACCTCTAGTTACACACGTTCTTTTAAATCCCTTGTATTATATTGCCTCAATTTATTGCAAAAACAACTTTATACAAGGGAGGTAGCCCAGTACACTAGAAAACTTCAATAATATAATCCCTTACAATAATGTTTGCAGCATGTGTTTGCCATTTTTGGCTTCAATAATGGGCGCCCGCTGGATTAGGGCCTACGCGTTTCCATGTTTAAAGCTGTTACCTTTTCAAAGCACTTTTTACTGTTAATTTCAGTGCAACAATGTGTCCGCTTTTCATTTGTTTGTTCTTTTTATTTCATGAGTATCAATTTTATCTTAGCTTTTGGTTCCTATGAATTCCCCTATAAATTATGTTCTCTTTCTGAGTATGTCCTTTTATATAAATGCCATTTGATTCCAATTGATGTCCAACAAACACGTGAGCTTTTTTTGTGTGTTTGATTTGAGCCTATCACATACATAAGACACGGCAAAATACGACGTTGTTAAACGCTTGAAAGGCAACTTTTAACATCACCGCTCTCAACATATACCCAAACACTCCATGGGACTGCCGTATATGCCGATCAGGCCAGGGGTGGTTGACTGGGGGTCAATTCATCGGCATATATGGCAGTCCCATGGAGTGTGTCTGGGATATAAACTAATTGTTGTTGAGACTATTTGGCCTGCGAGGTTGGAACCATCCGTGCCCTTCATGACCTTGCCAGGCGTCGGGCAGCTCAGGATGGATCTCCAAGCCCTCTACGGATGCTGGGCGTTTCTCAAAAACAACGTCAAGCATCCGTTCGCCTCCTACGGAAGGTGCTTCTGACCGTGCTTCCGGCCAGTGAACCACGAAGTCTGATGGGTACACGATGATTCAGCTGAAAACTCGGTGCACGAATCTCTGGAATCGACTTTCTCGACTTTCTCGAGATTTGCCAGTCGACGAGTCTCTTTCCCGTTTTGTTTGACATCTGTCTGACCGTCTGGCCCCCAACAAGTGCCCAAAAAGTGCCTCAAAGCCCCAACAAACTGGTCAAGCCAAAAGAGACCAGGACCGCGACACCTGGCAGATCTATCAGTTGGAAGCCTCAGGGGGAGGTGAGGTGTCCTGGACGTGGGGAAGGATGTGAAGGAAGAAGCAGGAGGTTGAGAAGAACTATCTACCAGGGCCCCCACAAACCATCAAAAACCAGGTGTTTTTCTTATAGCAAAAAATCTGGTTCTTGTGTGTGAAAACCTGAATTGGTTTCATGGTTTGCTAATGTACTTGTTAAGTACTTAGTACTTACGGACCTTTGTTCGTCAGTGATCTCTTTGTTCCTCTCTTCTGTGTCTCTTTGACCGACCTCGGCCGACGGTTCTCGGTGGACACGAGTGTCTGTGTCCTAGTCCTCACGACCCACGAGTCTCAAGGTATCCTGAACCCTCCGTCGTAGCAGAAAAAAGTGACAGAAAAAAAAACTGCACATCATCAAAAAAAGTGCTCATGCCTTGAAAAAGCGTACCACTGGAAAGTCAGATGTAGCTTCATTCCACCTTATGTGGTCTTCAAGTCCATTCCCCTGCCACATGCTGGCACCCATCCCATGCACACACAACACACGCTCACACACTACGAAGCGGCAGCCAGCAACCCCTTTCTTTGATCATCAGTATCAACATAAAATATTTACAGTAAGTAAAATAACAATCCGCCACTTTTTAAAATTGCGCCCGGGTTGCGGGAATTTGCGCCCGGGTTGCGGGAATTTGCGCCCAAGTTGCGGGCACCCTTTTTGGAAAAATTGTTGTAAAGCACGCCCAGAAGGTTGGAACCAAACCTTTGTGGTTTCATTTGCACATACTACTAGTAGGAGGTCATATAGGATTTCCACCCGGTCCATAGGGCCCCCAAAGGCCCACAAGGGTTGATAAGGACACTGGTCAGGAACCAGTAGGCTTTAGAATTTACATCACCAAAAAGCGCTCATATGTCCTGAAAAGTGTACATACCCTCAATTAACGCTCAAACTTCCAAAAAGTGCTCCAAACCATGGTTCGCCAGAAATAAGTGCTACAAAGGATGCTTCAGGATGTCATGGTCCGTCCAAAAGTCTCCGTTTGGGCTCCGGGGATTTCTCTGTAAATACCAACCCTAGAGTACCCCACGAGTTCGTGGAAGGGCTGGGCTCTTAGGGGCGTGACATGGACAAGTCCGCAAGTTTGTGTGTGTGGGCAACGGATGTGTTTTTCTTTTTCTCACGAGTCTCATGATGGAAGACATCTCACCCGGCCGTAGATCTGCGACGAAGGCTCAAAGCGCAGAATCCTGCCTGCCATGGGTCTTTGGTGAGTTGGGTGCCTCCCCGTGTTGTGCAAGAATAGGGATGATGGTGATGGTGAAGTGGAATCTTGTTGTGTGCAGCACTCCGCATTCCATAAATGTTGTGAGTCAAGAGTTGCAAGTCTTCGAAGTTGTGGGGTTATATACACAACATATATGGACTTATAACACTTATATACAACTCTTATATATAACACCCGAGTGATTCCATATATGTTGTGAGTCTAAGTGTTCCATTCCACTCGGAGGTGTGCTGCAGTGAGTCAGGATCATGGCGGTCTATAATTAATCATGAATCGGGGGTGTGGAGCGTGTGGAGTGGGTCGGCTTGGTGAGTGAGCCAGTGGAAGCTGGTGGAAGCTGTGGAAGCGTTGTGTAGCGGATCAGCGGAGTGAGTGGCGTCGGCACTGGAAGACGCGAGAAACCATGTTTGCTGGCAGAGTGATCACAACTGTGGTCCCAGTGAAGGAGTGAGCATCGGATACTGGAAAGGTAATGCAAGGGAGAACAGTTGTTGGGAATGCATTGGACGGAACATGACTTAAAGTTGGTGGACCACCTGCTTAGACATTGGGAACCGAAGCTGCATGACAGTGGATCAGTCATTGACGAGGGTGACGTGGCTGTCCGGGATTGCCATGGATGCAAGACGTGGATCCGGAACATGCCCTCTTGAGAGAGTATTCATACAGCGCCCAAACAAGTGGATTCACACAGCACACCACACTGGGACAATGCTTGCAGCATCACTATTATAGAATAAAGCTCAAATGAATGAGCACTACTTCAGTTACTGGATCCACGAGCTCACTGTAGCCCTTTAGATCCCTTTAGCATTGCAAGTCGACCTTGGCTTAGTCCGTCTCCCACGGTGAAGGAGTCCGTCACCAAGGACCCACTCGTGGGCGAAAAAGAGCCTCCAGGCGAACGCAGAGAGAGCCCCTTGCATTGAGTTACTCACAAAAGTTAGACGGATCAAAGAGTTCGAGTGGTTGCTTGCAAGAGCAACTCTCAGTCTGACTCTCAGTCCCTGTTTCTTCCAGGGATGGGCACACACAAGAATTGGAATCCCATTTCTTTCATCTCAGAAAGGTCACACGGAAGTGGTGTGGTTGTTGCTCCAGGCCGGAGCTGATGGTTGCATGCAGGGGAAGAACAGATGGGGCATCTGCCGCAGGATGGAGCTGATCTGAGCTGATCAACAGGGCTCAGGAAAAGGCACCTCAATCCGGAGACAAATCGATCAACCCAGACCCGGATTTCATCCAGCCAGCTGGCTCATGCGACGGGTGCACTGGGTTTCCAGGTGTTTGGTGTTCGATGTTCCTTGTTTTTTCAAGAAAATGTCAGGTGCCCCCCCATGCGACGGACCATGAAACATGTCAAGGAAGACGTAGATCACACCCAAAACCAAGTGCTTCACCCTATATCACTCCCTAGAAATCATCCATGAGCCATGCCCATCCATGCCCCCTTTGGCACGATTTTGTTTAATGCCAAAACAGCTGGTTTACATCATATGCCATCCACCTTGACCCTCAAAGTACCTCGGAAAATAGATACGAGTATATATACCGTATACCTTTTTTCTATGCGGTCATGTCACATCCCATTTTCATCCATTTCCGGTACTTTGGAGAGTCCATCCACTTCCACGTTCTCTCAGGATTTGTCCTCGGCCCGTCTCCACGTTCGAACCAAGAACCAAGGCGGCTCTTCAGGACCTCAGCGGCACCGGACCAGGGACCGCCGCTCGGCGAGAGCGCGTTCCGCGTGGTTCCGAGGAGGACCCGGACCAGAATCCAGCCCCCCATGAAAGGTGTTTGAAGGCTTTCTAACACACAAAGGTTTTTGGACACCAGACCTTCAGTTCGTTTTCGCGAACTTGAGATCGGATGAGGACACCAACAGGCCTGCAAGAGGTTACAAACAGAGACTCCAGTTTGAGGTCGCTACCTGACGGGGTGGCCGATTGTTCCAGGGCCCCGTGGATCAAAACCCAAGGCCCACCTTTCTAGTCAAGACATGTCTGTTTGGCCTGTTTGGGTGTTCGCCAGTGGCCCGCAATTTGATTTAGATATTTCTGCAGGTGGTACTCCTTCACTGCAGGCTCGGCCAAGGTCATTATGTGCGCAGCTCAGATTTGTTCATCCCTTTTCCGAGCTCGCCATGTCCGTTTCGGGATGCCATGGACTTGAGTGGGACAGGATCAGAATTCCAGCTCAAGAACTCTCCAAAGCTCGAGAGGTGAGGATTTGTTTCGCCCCGCCAGCAGACCGAAAAGCGGCCAGTGCCCCGCCCCGGCCCACGCCCCCTCGGGCACGCGCGAGACCCCCGAGGTTGTGGACAGAGGCCATCGCCGAGGCGGACGGAGCGTGGAAGTCCCGGTGCGGGCGCTTGGTCGGTCGCGCCGCCAAGCGGACCCCACCGGGGCGAGGAGAGCGAAGAGGAGGGAGCGAAGAGGAGTGGAGCTGTCTTTTTGGGGGGTGAGGCTGGCTAGTTTAAAGAAGGGTGCAAACACAATTCGAAGGGTGCAAACAGTGCCCACGATGGTGCCAATGACCCAGCTGTCACCGCAGAGATGCCCATGACCCAAACGCAGCGGAATGGTGTTCTCTGACCGCGGGGGTGCCATAACCGTTCGAGGGCTGGTTTTGTGATGCTTGGAACTTGGTACCACAAGCAAAAAGCCAGAAGAGGCGAGCATGAAATAGCGTAGATTTGAGATCGGGTCGACCAAAGCAAGCTGTTTTTGTTTATTCTTGCTCAATTGATTCAGATCCTTTTTTTTCCTCTTTGAATGACCGGTGGTGGGCAAACTCCATTGTTTCCCTGGAATACCACGCACCGCAGAACCATCGCATACCATCGCCTCTGCCGCTGAGGCACCAAGAAGCCGTTGGGGCGCCTGCTTGGGGGTCGAGTTAACAAAAAAATAGTGTGAAACATGTAAGCATATGCAGTCATAGCACACCAAAGCTGTGATGCCTCCCTTGGCTTTGTCAGCACTTCTTCCAAACTTCACAGGGCCACGTGTGGAAGTGTTTGCAAGTTGTGTTTATCCAGATGATTCAACCAGCCTATACGTTCACACGCACACACACACACACACACCCCTATACTTATACCACTTACTCCAAGCCCTGTCATCATATGGGCGAAGCTAGAGCGTCACCAGGACGACCGGTGTCATCATGACATGATGACGTGAGGACAACGGAGATGTTGAATCCGCAAAGACCTTTGCAAAGACCGTGCAAATTCGATCTATATATTATTTATATATAATCCCCCTAGTACCTCTCTTATATACCGAATTGAAACACATTTGTCCAGCCCCGTTTATAGCTAGGGGATGGATTAAGCCCGAAATTCAAATTGATACTCCAAACCCACCAATCACTTGGTATCACAGTTCAGGGTGGCAGCCAGTTGAACTTTTGGTGACAAGTGACAAGTTTGTTTGTACAATTTTACTGTTGATCTTTACCCAAAGATCCAGAGGACAGGGCACAACGTGTGCCACCTCCTGTCCATGCTCGGCCGGATGGCTTTGCAGAATGACTAGACCAAACAGATCCACACACAAGACCTGAACAAACAAACAAAACACCACACACGTCGGACCACATCGGGTCAAACCAACTTCATCCACCACAAATACCTCGGTGACGGATGGTTAGGGTCACCTCCCCTACACCTCCAGTCGTAGCTCCTCAGAAGGTGTTTAGACCCTCCTGGCACCCACCCCAGTCCCACCTTCGAAACGGAGGTACTTGGAGGCCTAGGGCTCATCTTCGCCCGGGCTCGGTGGCACGCCCTGGTGGGCGTTTCGGCGTGCTTCGGCGTTCGGACCAAGGCCGAGCGGCAACGGAGGTGGCTGGAGGAAGAGCTTCGAAAGGCGAACACCTTGGAGGCCGGGCATGACGGCTGGTGGTGGCAACAGCATCTGCACCAAGCGCTCAAGACGTAGCGTAGGGCAAGCAGAAGCATCACATTGCGCTTCTGAACGCTTCAGCAGTGATCTTGCTGCGCTCGACTCGTGCGCCACTGCCTCGTTGGACCTCCCAACCTATACCCCAAGAACCGTGCTTGAGGATGTGGTTGGAGCCCCTATAGGGATATTGAGATCTGGCCGAATTCTGTGTTTGGTGTCCGAAGGATTGGGGGGGAGATCGATGGGAGGTGGCAGAAGCTCCTTTCTGGGTGGGAGGGGCAGCGGATTCCAGCGAGCGATTCGGACGCCTCCCAGACGCCTTCGGATTGGTCTCGGGACCGGTATTTTGCTTTTGTACAGTTGGTCCACTTCAATGATTGTTGGATGGAGGGTGCAGTCACGGCATTTAGACGCATTTACTATCGCTTCTTCATCCGTGTTAGTTCCCGAAGGCTTGTGTTTGAGGTGCTGGCTCTTGCGAGATGAGCTTCCCTCAAGACGCCCCAAAAACCACCATTTCGGAGGCTTGAGCGTCCGTCCTCACCATCTTGGTTCACCCGCGGAACAAACCACCCTTTCCTGGCCCCTGACCCCCCTGACATCCGCATTGGAGACCAGACCCCTCCAGACGCCCCGAAGGCTCCGGAGGTTCACTTCGCAGGTGCCATCAGACGCCCAGCGCCCCCACGCCGCATGCCGAAACCGAACGCCAAGCCGCGCCGCTGGCAAGTGCCACAGATATATGCTGAGCTTGCTGCTGCACACACGTGGCTTTCCCGCCAAACCTTCGCTGACATTGACATTGTGGACACCCTTTGTTCTTTGATATCGTTGATGTTCTTCCCATCTTCCCAGACGCTCCAAACAGCCCTTGGTCCCTCAAAAGCAGGGATTTGAGACCCCAGACCCCTCCATATGAGGGTCCGACCCCTCCATATGAGGGTCCAGGGTCGCGTCTGGGTTTTAATCAATTGATGAGCCTCATCATCCCTCACCCTTGATGAGCCTGCGTGCGCCCTCATCCGAAGTCACCGGTGGAGGCCCGCGCGCTGCGGCCTTGGGTCATTGTTGCTGGACACAGGAGGGGGCTGAGGGGACGAGACGGCTGAGCGGTTGACGGGCAACTCAGATGGAGGGATGGGACATGTCCACACCAAGACCAATCAACCTACCAGGGGCCCGAAGCAAACCATGAAAAAAGGTGTTCACAGACAAAAACCATGTGTTTTGCTAGGGAAGACCAGGTTTTTGATGGGCCATGTGGGGCCCCTGGTACGTACCTAATCGTACCTATACCAGGAGTCACACAGCTCGGGGTGGTGTTTAATGAGTCCCATCCAGTGAGTGGATCATAAATCGAACAAAACACTATCAAACTTGTAGGCTCCTGGATGAAACATCACTTCTTGGATCCTGCGAATTCCATCCGCCTGTCCGACCTCCGACCGTGCTTCGTTTCGGCGCACCGGCCCGCTGTTTCGTCCGTCCTGGCCACCTTCGCCCGATCATCTCCACCGAGATCTCGGCATCTCGATCCCAAACTCCGACCGGCGACGACCGCCGACGATCGCCCAGGGCGGTGCGCGGCGCGGCGCGCCAGGCCGCTCTACTGCTCGGTGCTCCGGCCCACCTGCAGCAGTGAGGCGCGAGCCTGGGCGAGCCTGGGCGCTGGTCGTGTTTCAGCGCTGGGAGACTCGGAGAGGGGAGTTGGAGAGGGGTGAGGTGGAGTCCGTTGGTTTTTGCACCACAGTTTCCGTTCGTTTGGTTGAAAGTCCCATGATGGAACATCCCATGATGTTCACTTCGTTACCCAGACACTCCATGGCATACATGGAGTGTTTGCGTTGTTGTTGCAACTATCCTGCAGTGTTTGATTCACGGCCGCGAGCTGCGCTGGCGCTGGCGCTGGCTGCGAAGTCCACAGTGGAGGTTTTCCGGTTGTGGGATCGTTCCTGGCTTTCGATTGAATAACACATCGTATCAAATTGTTAGCTTGTTACAGCTTGTTAGCTTGGAACACTCGCAGGATTGTTCGGAAACGCATCGAATGATGTGAGGATTTTGAAAGCGGATTATCTTGTTACATCTCGGATCATCTCGTGACTCAATTCTTGTACCCACAGCCCGCCTTGACTGCGAGTCACATCAACGTGACTGCGATATGCGTTGAAACGCATCCTTTCTGAAGCATCTGAAGCCTCACTTCCGTCCACGAGACATTCGAGTGCAATCCATGAGACATTCGAGTATAGACCGGTCCTCTTGTTACTATAGTAGCTTCTTGTTACTAATATAATTTAATAATAATATAGTAATGGACTCCAACCTAATAGCGATGGCCTCCACCTAGTAGCTTCTTGCTACTTGTTGCTTCTTGTACCTATCAGTCTGACGTGGCACGGCACGTCACACCAGGCGGCCAAGTTGCGGGCAGTGCTCGAACCTCTCCTGGTGAAGTGCGCGTGGGCAGTGCTCGACACGGGGTGAAGACGCGGTGCGTGGCGTTCCAGAAAAGCGAACAAAGAGATTTTCAAGAGCAACATCAACTCATATCATGTATATAGAATATATCTTCTGATTTTTTTTGATTTATACTGACTGATATATGTTTCTGCATATATAAGATATCTCTGCCCAAACAGGACACGCAAAGGCCACGCCGATATGTTGACTTTTCCCCGGGCCGGCAATCTGCACGAAAAGGCAGGAAAGGAGCACTGGCTGGTGAGGGAATATGCACAGGGAGTATTCCTTGTAGAGGCACTCGATGCAGGCAGCATTCAACTTAAAGGATAAAGCATTGGCCAGGGAACTGATGTGTCTCATCTTCCAACGGGTTTGTGCCTTGGAATTTGTCAGGGATGAGCATAAGTCTCGTGCAAATGCAAGCTGATAGACGCTATACTAAGCGCACAGTTTGACTCACGAATCCCCAAAGGAAAATCCTTCTCCTTTCGTGCACGGAACGTAAATTGGTTGGTTGATTTGAATGAGCTCTTCCAGGACCTTCAGTACGTGACCTCTTTGGAGTTTGTATACGTGACCTCTTTGTCCGGGACGACGACTAAGTGACCGACCCGCCACATGGGATCAACCCGTCGGACGGTCACGATTTGAAGGTCGTTCTCACACGCGCCTGGCGACGCGGCAGCCAGGTACAGTGTCGACCTGTACTTGGCCTCCCATGTGCACGCATATGAGAGGACGTTCCACGTGCGGAATGGCTCTGTTTGCCGGGTCCCTAGCCACCGATCGCTCGGCCTTCATCATCTTCATCGCTCGGCCGGGAACTGCTTCGGGCGCCGTGCGCTGTGAGAGCCACCCAGTCCTTCCTCTTGGGGCTTCCTCTCCGGTGAACCAAACCGGACCCACGTGACATCACGGAACATCACGTGACTGAACATGCACGGAAAAACAAAAAAACAAAACAAACAACATGGAAAGAACAAAAGATGTACTGCAGAATCATGGACATGTTCCTAGTATACTCTCCTATATGAAAGGTTCTAAAAGCTTAACCGGAGACCTTGAACACCTTCACTCAGATCAGCTGGATCCACCAAACGCTGCTCTCCAAACATATCCCCCACGTGGACGCGCCACTTCTCCATTCGCGCTCCCGAGGCACCGCGAATGGCACTGAGACGTGTGGGTGCGCCGAAGCGGCCTCCGCGGTCGCGGCGGTTGGGACGGTGTTTTTTCACGGCTCCGGAGCGGGCGGAGTGCGGAGTGAGGATGAAAGAAGATCAGGAATCAAGAGAAGTCCGTTTTCGACCTGAGATCTTTTTTCAACAGAAACTTTGCTCACCTGGACCATCCTGTCGACAGAGCATCCCGGATTTTTTTGGTGCAGGGATGTGCAGGGTAGTCCAGCCAGGACACCCAGACAGGATGGTCCTGGTACAAATTACAAAACACATCAATCAAAAAAAAACATGTCCAGCACCCTCCAACAGGTCATTAGTTGAGGGTTGGGAACGGCCCTAACAGGTCTCACTTGGTGTCAGATGAGATGCTGCTCAACGCTTTGTAGAACTCCACTTCGACCATACTCGTTTGGCCTCCAATCGTATCGTTTCGTTTCGGTAGGACTGGGATGGGTGCCAGGAGGGTCCAGTCACACCGAGTAGTCGGAGCTGGCGACCTGCTTCGCTCACGCCTTCATCCTGCGGTTGAAGCACGCAGGCCCGTCCACATCCTCAACGGTGATGCCGGAGATCCCCCGTTGAAGTGCCCCATGGTGTTTGGCCGCTCGCGGAAGCTCAGGGGTGGAAACAGGGGCGGGATGGAGGCGTGTGGGATGGTGTGGGACTTCAATGGAATGCACACGGAATTGAGGAAATACGGCATCACACATCTTCCCGAACTATTTCTTCCAGGAACTTCCAGGACATTTCTTCCGACCTCAAACTGGAGTCCCTAAACTCGACTGTTCGTTCAGCCTACATACCATACATACGACAAACCTCAGGTCCCAAACCGATGGACCAACGGTGTCAACAAAAAGGGCGACGGCTGAACAGGTGACCGCAGGTGAGGCGATTGAAAATGAATTTTACTTGGGTATAGAGTCCCTACAGGTCAAGGACCTTATTTGACTGGGTCCGGGAACATGCAAAACCATGCAGCATACTCCATGAGGTTGGTGGGACCCGACTGGATTTGTAGGGAGTTGAACTGAACTTCATCCGGGCAGTCGGTGTGCAAGGGATTGGGTTTAGTGTGATTGGGGACACAGACCTTGCACTTAGAAGCCAGAAGACGATGCAGGGTCTGGCAAGCGGCAATGGTGTAAAAGCGATTTTTCCGTCACCTGGAGGCAGCTTGGAAGAATGGAACAACAAAAAAGATCTTCCAGCACCTGAGCCGAGACCGTGACCGTCCTTGAGATTCCAGGATGAGGGAGACCGACTCCTCCGAAGAGGTCACAAACACTCAGGCCACCGACTGAAGGTCCTGGCATGTAGTATTGTTGAAATATGTTGAAGAACATCTTTCTGGGCGACTTTTCTGTGTCCTGATTGTAGTATAACTTATATTGTATATTGCCAGGTGTCCAGGTTTACAACTCACGCGCTGGGTCCTTGTTTCCCTGCGGCCCCAAAGAAATTTGTTTATCTCAACGAACAGCTTCATGCAAAAGAGTCGCGATCAAGGTTCTGCAACACAGTCGCGAAATGCGATCAAGTCGCACAAGACAACACCAACATAACACAATGGAACACAAAAAAAACTGAGTTTTTGATGTCCAGGTTTTGTGCTTGATTTGAAGTGTTTGGACATTTGTTAACAGATTGGAGGTTCCAGGTGGGTGTGTTGGGAGTAAATGAGAACATGGACTAAAGCACGACAAAACTGCTTGGGGATCGCTGGGGGTGTGTTATAGCAAAAGGAACACCTTGACCCAAACTCATTGGTGGACCGCTGGGTCTCCCTTTTCTCACCCTTTGCGCATCGGCCTGCGCCACGTGGACGAGCGGTCACTGATCAACACCGTCAGGTACGCAGACCTGCCGGCACGCTTCAGCGCCCATCGGCATCCGGGACAGCCAGGGCCGCAAGCGGAGAGCGATGGGGGAAGGTCGACGACTTCCAGCCCCGTGGTGCTGGGGAGGGGACGAACAAGGCCGCCTACATACCCAGACGCTCCATGTATGGTAACAGTATGGTACATATGCCGAGAAACGGCCAGGGGTGGTGCCAGAGGGGTCAATGGGGCGGTAAATATATGTAAATATGCCAGTCCCATGGAGTGTCTGAGATAGATCATGATGTGTCATAATATGTCTGTAGCGATGTGGCTGTGGGTCACCAGACCATGCTTGACCACAGAAAGTGAACAGAATGGCCTACTAAGGAGGTCAATCTAAGAGGGCTTAGGGCTCCAGGTTTGGACCCACAGCCAAAATATGCCATACAGGAATACAGTATGCCAATGTATGCCATATACATGGAGTATTTGGGGCATTCGGCACTGTTGCGATCTACGGGTGTCCGGTGTGTTTGGCTTCGCCGTCACCGCTGGTCGCTTCGCTTCGTCGCCCGCTTCGCCAACTTGGTTCGAGTCGTGATAAGGCCAGGCTATGGCGAGATCACTGTGAATGCTACGACCCTCCAGTGCGCCTTCATGTAGGACGTGCCGAAAGGAGCGCGGAGCGGAGCGGTGATGGAGCGGTGTCACCTGAAGATCATCATTGTCTCATCGTCCTGCACAGGTGCAACTAAACCAGAAACCACCTTTGAAATCATTTGAATACCTTTGAGTATGCCAAATTTCCTGAAACACTTGGCAGGCTCACAGAGTGAATTATGTCGAGATCAAAATTGATTCTGTCCCAGTAGCCCTTCACAGTGTTTCAAACTCCTGCATTGGCTTCCCCCTTCTGAGCAATGCTTTTAACGTTTTTGTTGAGGCTGCTAGATGTGGGCATGAGGCTGTTGGCAGATGAGATGCTCAAAAAAGGCAAATCACGGACTTGGCATCGCATCCTCTAGAGTGTTCTCTCCATTCTCGGTACTTTTGGAACTGACCCAGACATTCCATGTATTTAAAAACACACATTGACCCCCAGTCAACCACCCAATGCCGTACATGCCAGTTCCATTTGTCGTGTCTGGGAAATGACAGAAGCTCACCTATGACTGGCTCTTTCCTCCCATGTCCACCTGGTTCGTCAGCTGCTAGGTATCGGCAGTTGGATGCTGTTGGCTCGGTGAATGATCAGCCGGAAAGGCTCAGAAGTTGGGGGAAGAGATGCGTCGGAACATCGTTTTTTTGTCTAGGAAAAATAGAAGGAAGGCAAAAGGTTCTGCACCTACAGGATCCTACAGGTGCAGCCTGCACTTGCCGACATCTTTTCTGGCACCGATAGATGACGATTTGAGGTGCCAGTTGTGAAGTTTCGTGTGGGGCGTTGAGGTGCCAGATCCATCCAGCTCCTCTGAGGCTGTTCATGACCAAGACGGTCATCGACTTGGGTGCTGAGGAGGCGCGCGGTCTGCGCTTGCGCGACGCAGGGTCGGAGCGGCGAGGGGTCGGAGAACGAATGCGATGGTGCATGGATATGCAATGGTATACATGCAGATGTTTTCAGGGTTTGGGCAATATACATCCATTATATTATGTATATCACTGACTGATAACGCTGCTGTGCTTGGCAGTTCAGAGCAGCAATGACACAACTTTATTATTGTATGTGTGAATTACCTGTGGTTATTTTTGTTTTTAGGCTTCAATCATTTGACGGGTGTTTATATGCAATAAAGCATGTGCATTAGTATTGTAAAACTTGTTCAAACATGTGGGTGGCAAAAACATGCCATGTCTATTGTGGGGACTGAAGCAACTTGACATGGCCAATGACATGTTCCTTCTATATTGAACCCACTGCTCTTCTTGGCTTTTCAGAACACACCCCGTTCAATCTCCCATTATCATTGCGTGGGCTGATGTTTGAATTTCAACTTAAAGATGAACAACTGGGTGGTTGTTCCTTGCAATGGAAGTTGAAGAGAAGTATACATATTACATTATATTACCAGAGGCTCCAGTAAGCAAACATGGCCTACATTCACCACCAAAAAAACACCAAATGTATAGGCCATAGTAGTTGCTTACATGGATCGTTTGGGGTATCCTTTTCTTCCGTCTGGGCAACGGCGACCATCGAACGGATCAGTGAGATGACTCGCAGCCGATCGACTCGCCCGACCGGAGATCCCGGTGAGAAAACATGCGTTGCGATCGGGTTGAAATCGGGGTTCCAAACTGATGTGTTCCGACCCTGTCCCAAGTGCGGCTGGAAAGACCAATCCAGGAGTTCGTCTCGGCAGGAGTCTGGCGGGGAGTCTCCCCAAGTTGGAGATTTGTTTCGGCAAAGCTCGCTTTTGGTCCTCCAGGAGTACTTCCTAGAGGCTGTTGGCTGGCTTGCCCTTGGCCTCAGACTTTGTGCAGATCAAGAGATGGACTCGCGTTGAGAGAGCCCACACGTTCGGCTTCTGTGTGCCCCCCCTAAAACCGCCCTGGTACGACTAAAGGCCCAACATGGAACTACATGGTACGTGTGCCTCAAGCCGCTTGCATGCTCAACAATGGATTAGGCTCACAATGGATTAGAGCAAAAGTCAGCGATTTCTACCTTTAGGATCCTTCAGGAGCTCATAATTCTTCTTAGTGAGAGAATGCATTGCTCCACATGGCCAGGCTGGCTCGAGATGGTAGGCGCTACTGTGGTTTGTCAAATTGGAGGATCTTAGTCTTAGCCTATACAGTGTATATCAATGATATTTATTCCAAGAGGTCGGGTTGCCCCATGTTCGACACCAACGGTGTTGCACCGCACAAGCGCAGCTGCCCACCTCGTGGCCGGCCCTTGGAGTTCACCGGTGTATGTTCCGTTCGTTTCTATCTCACCATGTAACAAGGTGCAGAACTTGGAACATACACCATTTTTGTATACTCCATGGTTTGGGGGTTTGGTGTATCCGTGGTGGATACGAGAACTGGCCCTTTTCCTTGCCCTTTGGCCCCGTTTGCCACGGTGGACACATCGGATCCATGTCGGTTGCGAGCTGACCGCAAGCCCCTGAAGGACCACGTGGCTGCATCAAAGCATGTTTGGCCTGCCAGAAGTGATACGGAAGAGGAGATTCCACTAAGGGTGATTTGTCTTCTTTTCTTGAGCTGTCATAGTTTCAGAAGACCTCACGCCTAACCAGTGGTTGGTGAGTTGCTAATATCTCTCAGCTTCAGGTTGGACATCAAACGTTTTGTTTTCGCCGAGTCTGCTGAGTCTTGAGGCCTTTGCCACCGCACTGGCCACTGGCACCTGCGGGTTAGTGCCTCAAGATCAGAAGAGGGTCATGGTGCCGTCGGTACTCGTACTGGACATGGTCTTCACTCCTTGGAACGTCCTCATGGCGGTGCCGTGGATGGAAAACGGCCCCGAAGACTCGTGATGACGATGAAATCTGAAGACCAAACAGGTGATGAACTATACACATCCATGATTTCAGGGAGTTTAACTTCTCTACCTTAGCTGCAACCAGATCCTACAGCTCCACTACCCCAGTCAGCAGGCCAAGTCCTTTGCGTCGCCCCGCCAGTCTTTCTCCTTGCACTTCTCGGTCCGAGTCACTTCTACCTGCAGTGGCAGGTTGACATGTCTCAACTGATTGCCCCATTTTTTACTGGTCATCCTGGCCAGTTCGGAATTCGGGTTAGGGACGACCCAGAACCGCCCCGTCATGACCGGGTGAAAAACACCCGAACTCGCTCGTTGGTGCGAAACACGGCGCGTTGTCTCGTCGTGAAGTCGCTGGTGTCTTTGAGGTTTGTGAAGTGGGTCCATGCTGATGGGCTGAAGCGCCGCAATGAGGCGGTGGAGATGGGACTGATATACTGAGATGGACTGGTGGGACCATCTGGTGGACTGGATGGGGTACTGTAGATGAGGATATGAGTAGATATGAGATGAATTGAGATGATATGCGGAGATGAGACCAGGAGTCGGGCAGAGCTGCAGGACGATGAAACCGCCGGTTTGATCCTCACGTTGATGGTGTCAACGCTGGGTCGTTGAACGGTCATTCGTGGTCCATGGTCCCAGGTGGTCTCAGCTCTCCCCGGTACCGTGGGTGCCATGACCCACACCACCGCGGTGCTTGACATGTGACCTGGTCCCCACCACACCTGACCCGTGCTCGTTTAGATGCCCGTGCTCGTCTGCATCAGGCGATTCGTCACCTCCGGACAGAGATTGCGGTGCGGTTTTTGGAGCAGGGAGAGAGAGAGAGAGAGAGACGATCCTTGTTGGTTGGAAGTGGTTCGATGGTGAACTTTTACTGTAGATGTCAACAGCAGGTGTCGAATACCTTCAGCTGGGGAATACCTTCAGCCCCCGAGGAGGTTGGTGGGGTATGGTGGGCTATTTGCCTTCCAAAATCACTTGCGATTGCTACTTGTACCCATAATTGGTCCAGAGCAGTTGGCAGTTGGCACACGCGACTCAGCTCTTTGCAATCAACCAAGAACTCGACTTCTAGGCAAACAATATGTTCATTTACTTCCATGGAAATCCGAGGTGGGAGTCCCCTATGCGATACATGCGTTGCGCATGCTGCGTTGCAAGATAGCCGTCGTAGTCTTCAGACCGAAGGAGTTCGGCGTCCTTGCTCCTAGTAGCGATGCCCTTTGTTCCTAGTAGCTTCTTGCTCCTAGTAGTAAGGCCAGGAGCTACTAGTAGCGTCCTTGCTCCTAGTAGCGACGCCAGGAGCCCCTAGTAGCGTCCTTGCTCAGTAGCGATGCCAGGAGCCCCTAGTAGCGTCCTTGCTCCTCGTTGCGATGCCCTTTGTTCCTAGTAGCTTCTTGCTCCTAGTAGCAAGGCCAGGAGCTACTAGTAGCGTCCTTGCTCCTAGTAGCGATGCCAGGAGCCCCTAGTAGCGTCCTTGCTCCTAGTAGTAACGCCAGGAACCCCTAGTAGCGTCCTTGCTCCTAGTAGTAAGGCCAGGAGCTACTAGTAGTTTCCTTGCTCCTAGTAGCAATGCCAGGAGCCCCTAGTAGCGTCCTTGCTCCTAGTAGCGATGCCCTTTGTTTCTAGTAGCTTCTTGCTCCTAGTAGTACGGCCAGGAGCTACCAGCAGCGTCCTTGCACCCAGCAGTGATGCCAGGAGCCCCTAGTCGTCCTTGCTCCTAGTAGCGATGCCCTTTGTTCCTGGTAGCTTCTTGCTCCTAGTATGGCCAGGAGCTACTAGTAGCGTGCTTGCTGCTAGTAGTGATGCCAGGAGCCCGTAGTAGTGTCCTTGCTCCTAGTAGCGATGCCCTTTGTTCCTGATAGCTTCTTGCTCCTAGTAGCAAGGCCAGGAGCCCCTGGTAGGGTCCTTGCTTCTAGTAGGGATGCCAGGAGCCCCT